GTAGCATTGACTGGGCAGCTTAAACAACAGAAATTCATCTTTTCACTGCTATGAAAACTGGAAGTTTAAGACCAGGGTGTGGGCTAATTTGGTTCCTGGTGAGGGCTGTCTTGGAGACAGCCACATTCTCCCTATGTCCTTTCACAACAGACTGAGAGAGAAGGGAAGAAGGGTGTCTGCTGGTGGAGACTGGTGTCTCTTTTTATAGGGACACTGATCCCATCGGACTGCAGCCTCCCCTCATGACCTCATCTAATCCTAATAGTCTCCATAGTGGGAGCTGGGAATTCAACATATGACTTTGGCAGTGGAGGAAAATTCAGTTTGTAACAATAATTTAAAGGTTTTTCTGTTTTTCTGTTTGTTTTGTTCTCTTGAAGTTCTCTTGCCTATTGGAAGTTGCCATGCTGCCAATTTGCTGGAGTGAGGTGCTTTCCCTTAGCTGATCCTGCCTAAGTGACAGTCATTTCTTTTTGTCATAGAATACATTATAACATTATAAAACACATAAAACATTATAGTTTTATAATGTATGATGTGTATTTTTGTGCAGTGATATTTGTGCAGCATTACTGTATGCATATTATTTCTACAAATTATTTAAAACTTGAAAAAAATGTATGGAGTTCCTACCGATAAGCCCAACATCCCTTCAAAAATAAATGTCACAGCTATGTGACCTATATTTCCAGGTATTCAGGAGGCTGAGGTAGGAGCATTTAAAATTTGAAATCAGCCCTGGGCAATTTAAGTGAGACACTATCTCAAAATAAAAAAAGGGCTTAGAATATAGCTCAGTGTTCCTTGGGTTTAATTTCCAGTTCCTCAAATACATAACTCCTCATTTTGGACATAATTGTCAAACCTATAAGAAGGTTCAATAATGTGAAATAGATAGAAAAGGTTCAAAGGGGAAAGGGAAGTAGGGGGTGGGGGACAGGAAAGAAGGGAAAGAAAAAAATATAAGAAAAGAAGGAAGAAACAGAAAGAAAGCTTTTGTAAGTAGGGAGGGGTGGACGGGAGGGAAGGGGAATGGGGAATAAAAAAGAACTAAGATCTGTCAGGTACAGGTACAGATTCCCAATGGTGAATGTGATCATAATGTGTACCTAAAATGTACCAATAAACTTAATGTAAAGAAAAACAATGCTCATTTGGGATGAACGGGTGATGATACATATGAACTAATGTTTAACACTTTCCTTTCCCAAGTAGTGCAGGGGGAGAGGTAGTTTTACCTCATGGTGAAGACAGAGACTCTGAAGCCAAATTGCCCATGTGTGAGTCTCAGCTCTGCTACTTACTAGCTGTATGATCTCGATCCCATGTTCATCAGCAGCTGAATGACTTTAGACAACCTCCTTCCTATTGCACTGCTTTAGTTTCTTTGTCTAAAAAGGGGGACTATTACAAAGATGAACACCAATTGAAATAGCAGAGGTAAAATGCTTAGAAGGGTGTCTAGCACATAGTAAGTGCTGAGTAAATAGTGGGTATGATATGATGTCCATATTAGGGAGGCTAAACTATATACATGGGTCCTGAATAGCAAGTGAAACATGAAATGATAAATATGGTATCGAATGAAAAATATCTTGTTTAAGCAGCTTGAAGAATAATTTAAGGTCACATATTTTTAGTAGTTATATGACTCCAAACATTTATCTTGCTCATTAAAAGAATGTCTTTTCTTTTTTTGGGCTCCCATTTCATGCTGAATCCAGGAACTAGAAGCTGTCAGTGAGTCTTGAGGGGTCAGGTCTGCTATGGGAGGGCTATTGCTGCCCGTCATAGAGCCCATTGCAGTGGTCAGAAGGTGCTGCTGCTAGCCCGCCCTTCGCAATTTGCTCAAAGCAGAGTCCTCTTCATCTCCCTATTGTACTGTTAGGGCAATCTTTATGATCTGAGCCAGAAAGTCAAGGTTCCAGTTATTAGCAAACAGTATATAACCGAGAGAACTAGAAAAATCTGCAAATGTTTGGAAATTAAGCAACACATTTACAAGTAACCTAAGGGCCAAAATAAAATTTGCAACAGAAATTCGAAAATATTTTGAATAATAATTATAAGTCACATCAAAACTCAAGAGATGTACCTAATACAATACTTGGAGGGAAGTTTTTAATCCTTAAGCTCATCTACTAAGAAATAAAGGACTTCACTTAATTATCTAAGATTTCATCTCCAGAAGTTAAAACAGGATATTGAGCTCAAAGAAAGGAAATAATAAAAAACATAAAATGAATGACAAACCACTAATACAGAAAGTTTTTGGCAAAGCCAAAAGCTGGTAATTTACAATGATTAATAAGACCGACAAGCTGGGCATGGTAGTGCCCACCTGTAATCCCAGTGTAGCAAGATTAGTGAGACAGGAGTTAGGATTCAATTAGGCAGTAAGAACAGTGGCCCCAACATGGAGTCAGGAAGTCCAAAATAGAGGCCGCTGACTCATGGCCCTCTAGGGATCTTACAAAAACATCTGGCAGGTGAACTCCAGCAGTCTGAGACTTCCCCACAGTATGTTCTGGCTCAAGGGTGCGTGGGCCCTGCGTGGACATTGTGTGAATACTGCATAGATCGGATACTAAAAAAAATGTAGCCTCCTATAGGATAGAGATTATGTTGCTTACACCGTGGCCAAACTTCCTTCTAAACCTCTTAAAAACTCTTATACAAAGAGCCTTCTTGGGTATCCTGCTTTGAACCCCCTGCAGGATAGCAGGAGCTTTACTTCCTTGCCTTTGTATCTTTTAGTTTTAAATAAATTTGCTTGCACCCTACCTCCTGTCTGTGGTTTCATTCTTTATCATCATGGTACACTACTCTGGTATTCTGTCAGCACCAGCACTTGGGAGGATTGCAGCCAGTTCAAGGCCAGCCTAGGCTACACAGGGTGACCCTGTCTCAAAAGAACAACTACAATAGGGGCCGGGGATTTAGCTCAGTGATTCCGATGCCTGCCTCGCAAGTGCAAGGTCCTGAGTTTGATCCCTGGTACCAAACAATAACAACAACAACAAGAACAACTACAAAACCTCCCAAACCAAAACAAAAAACCTCATCAAAAACCAAAATACCAGGCCAGGTGTGGTGGCGCACACCTGTAATCCCAGCACTCAGGAGGCTGAGGCAGGAGGATTGCTGTGAGTTCGAGACCAGCCTGGGCTACATAGTGAGTTCCAGGTCAGTCTCAACTACATAGTGAGACCCTGTCTCAAATACCCCTCCCCCCAAAATCCTGATAAACCACAGTAAGTAAAAGAGAGAACATAAATGTCAGGAATAAATAAGTTCCTACTACATTAAAAAGAAAGATGTAAACTCTGTGCCAATAAATCCAAAATATGGTTGAAATTGACAAATTCATTGAGAAGCACAACTTCCTAAACTGAACACTGAAGAAATAGAAAATTTAAATATTATAATAGTAGCATTATATTTATGCTATAAATGGAATCTACTAACACACACGGAGCCTAGCTGGTGTCACTGATGAAATCTTTCCAACATTTATAGATGAAATATACTTAAAATGAAAGTCCAGAAAATAGAGAATGACTTATTCAGAGGACTTATACAACAGAAAGTTGAACAGAAAAAGCCATCCAAATAGAAACTAACAATAAAATTGTCATTATTCACAGGTGACAATGGGTTCATTGATAACTACAAAGAATCCACTAAAAACTATTAGGTTTTTAATGAGTTCAACAAGGTTATATAGAATACAAGATTCATGAATACAAAATCAATTGGATTTCTGTACACTTGTGAAGAATCCAAAAATGAAATTTACAATAGCATCACAAGGGACAAGACATTTTTATAATTAATTTTATTGGTACTTTTTTACATACATAATGATCACATTCATCATAGGGAATTTGTATTTGTACATGATATATCTTAATTATTTTTCCCATTCCCTTCCCTTCCTTATTTCTCTCTTCATTTACAAAACTTTGCTTATATTGTTTTCCTTTCATTCTTTTAATTTTTTTAATCCCTGTTTCCTTCCTTACCTTCCCCTGCCCCCTTATTTGTTCCCCTTCTCATTTAAACATTTTATTCCTATTTCCTATTATCTATCCTCTATTTTAGTCCTTATTTATCCTTTGGGTTTCTCATATAAGAGAATGCAATATTTAAACGTGTGTCTGATTTATTGCCCTTTAAATTATATTCTCAAGGTACATCAGTTTACCAAGTTTATCCTTCTTTTTGGCAGATAGTCCTCCCTTATATTTAAAAACCACAGTTTATTTAGCCATTCATTCATTGATGGGTATTTGTGCTCTTTCCAAGATTTAGCTATTGTAACTTGTGCCACTATAAACATAGAAGTCCCTATATTGTGTGCTATGATGCTTTTAACTCTTTTGGGGAGCTACCAAAAGAGAATATTTCCAGATTGGTTGTACCAATTTGCACTCCCATCAACAATGGAAAAGGGCTCCTTTTTCTTGACAGCCTTGCCAACATTTGTTGTTGGTTGATTTCTTTTTTTCTTATTTTGGTACCAGGGATCTAATTTGGGTCCTTGTGCTTGCAAGGCGGGTGGCAGAACCACTGAGCTAAATCCCCAGCCCTGATTTCTTGATCATAGCCATTCTTTGTGAAGTGAGATGGAATCTGTGTTGTTAAATTTGCATTTCTCAAAAACCAGTGCTTTATCAAGAGAGAATAGTTTCCAAATTCTCCAAATTTGTATTCCAACCTACAAATTTCCCTCTCTTCCAATGTATTATTAATTTGTAGAATGGAGCCGTGCTGGGCACTGACAGATGCAAAAGGCTAGCTTCCCAGGTTTTCTGTCATGAGAAATACTTACCAGAAACTGGAACAAGCACTGGTAACACTGCTCAGATTTCCAGCACATTGTCAAGTCGCTTCCCAGGAGTTCATTATAGATGAGTAGCAAAAACTTATCCACTTTTAACTCCATATGATTTTTGTTGTGTAAATCTGGTTGTGGGGAGCTGCCTGGGGCCCGCAGTATGCGGCCCAGCCCAATGGCCGCCAGTAGCAACACTGCCAGGGAAGCCCTGTTCCTCCCACTGGTGTGCACCTCCACCCACAGCCTCTCCGTGGCCCAAGGGCCCAGCGCCAGTCTGCCAGTCGCCAGTTGTCAGCTCGCTCCCCTCCTGCCCAGGGTGGGGGAGTGGGGGAGCACCCAGGGTAGGGTGGGGCGGACTCTTTAGGGTTTTTATCACAAATTTGTCAAATCTGTCAAATGCTTTCTATGCAGCTATTAAGGTGATCATGTGGTTCATGTCCTTTCTTTTGTCAATGTGGTGTATTACATTTATTGACTTGAGTATGTTGAACCTTCCCTGCATCCCTGGGATGAATCCTACTTGGTCATGGTGTATAATTTTGATGATTTGCTTCATTCTGTTTGCTAATATCCTCTTGAGGGTTTTTGGATTTATGATTATTAGATTGGCCTGTAGTTCCCTAATTTGGTTGGATTTTTCTCTCGTTTTGATATCAGGGTAATCTTGCTTTTACGAATGACTTGGGGAGTATAGCTTCCCTTTCAATTTCATCAAAGAGTTTGAGGAGGTCTCTAAAGTTCTTACAGAATTCAGCAATGAATCCAACAACACCTGGACTTATTTTTTGTTGGTAATTTTAAAAAAATTACTGCTTCTGTTTCATTGACTGATATTGGATGGTTTAGAATTTTTATATTTTCTGATTCAGCTTTGGTAATTCATATGTATCTAGGAATTTATCCATTTCTTTTGAATTTTCCATCTTATTTGAGCACGTTTTCAAAATAAGTATTGATGATCTTCTGGATTTCTGCAGAATCTGTTATGATCATTCCTTTTCATTCCTAATTGCATGGATTTGGGTTTTTACTTTTTTTTTTTAATAAAGTTAGCTAGTAGTTTGTCTATTTAATGTTTCAAAGAACCAACTCTTTGATTCATTAATTCTTTGTATTATTTTTGTAGTCTCAGTTGCATCAATTTCTGCTCCAGTCTTCATAATTTACTTCCTCATATGAGCTTTGGGTTTAACTTGTTGTTCTTTTTCTAGAAGTTAGAGGTTCAACATTAGGTTATTTATTTGAGCTTACTTTTTCTAATGTGGGAATTCACTTCTATAAAATTCCCTCATAAAAAAATTTCCCTTATAGGACTGCTTTTATTGTGCCCCATAAATTCTGGTATGTTGTATTGGCATTATTGTTCAATTGTAGAAACTGTCTAATTTCTTCATTAATTGGTTGCTCAGAAGTACACTGTTTAGTTGCCATGTATTTATATAGTTTTTGTTGTTTCTTTTGTCATTTATTTCCCATTTCATTGCACTATGATCTGATAATATGCATAAGATAATTTTAATTCCTTTGCATTTACTTAACTATGTTCTATGAGATAGTATGTGGTCTATTTTTGGGAAAGTCCCATGTGCTGCTGAGAAAATGTTTATTCTGTTGTTGGGTGGAGCAATCTGTAGATATCTACTAAGTCTATTTCTTCAAAGGTTTGGTTGATCTCTGATATTTCTTTTTTGATTGTTGTCTTGTTGATCTATTTGTGTTGATAGGATATGTAGGTCTCACATTACAATTGTTTTAGTGTTTATCTGGTTTTTCATATCTGTGTTTGTTTTATATAGTTGGGGTGCACCAATATTTTGTACATATATATTTATGATTGTTATCTCTTCCTTTGGATTGTTCTCTTAGCAAGTGTGTAGTGACCTTCTTTGTTTTGTTTTTTGTCTGTTTGTTTATTTGGGTTTTTTTTTTTTTTTTTTTTTTTTTTTTTTTTTTTTATGAGACAGGGTCTTGCTAAGTAGTTGAGACTGACCTGAAACTCACTATGTTGCCCAGGCTGGTCTCAAACTCACAGCAATCCTCCTGCCTCAGCCTCCCGAGTGCTGGGATTACAGGCATGCACCACCACGCCTGGCTCTTGTAGCGACCTTCTTTATCTCTTCTGATTAATCTTGGTTTGAAATCCACTTTGTCTGCAAACAGAATAGCTAAGCTACTCCTGCTTTTTCTGGGCTCCTGTTGCATGCAGTATTGTTTTCTATCCTTTGACTTTCCATCTATGAATTTCTTTTGGAGTTAAATGAGTTTCTTGTATGCACTATATTGTAGGATCTTGTTTTTTGATGATCCATTCTGCCATTCTATTTCTTTTGATTGGTGAATTGAGACCATTCACATTGATATTATAACTGATAAATATTGACAAATCCTTATCATTGTATTATTTTCCTGGTGTTGATTCCCTATCTTTCCCTTCTATTTTATTTATTGCCCTGTCTGGTGGATTCATTCTATTGGGATTATTGATATTGGTTTCTTCCTTGTCTCTTTCTAAAATATCCTTGAGAACTTTGCAGAGGCCTGGCTTAGTGGTCATGAATTTCTTCAGATGTTTTTATGATGGAAGTATCTTAGTTCTCCAACAATTTTGAAAGATAATTTTGCAGGGTACAACAATCTGGGTTGGAAGTTGCTTTCTTTTAGGGCTTGAAATACTTTACTCCAAGTTCTTCTTGACTTTATGGTTTGTGTTGCGAAGTCTGCTGTGAGTTTCATGGATTTTACTTTATAAGATGATTTGTTTCTTTTCTCTAAAAGCTTTTGATATTCTGTTCTTTTGTTGAATTTCTGGAATCTTGACTATTATATGCCTTGTTGTATTATTTTTTTCTGATTGTGGCTAATTAGGGCTCTGTGTCACTTATCTATGTGTCAAATTTTTTTCCCATGGTTTGGAACTTTTCTGCTATTACTTCTCTGAACAAGTTTTTTAACTGTCCTTTGTGTTGATTTTTTCATTGATTACAGCTAATCTTATTCTTCTTTGCATTGTCTAGCCACAGTTGGTTTGATTTTTCATGGTCCCTGGTGATTTTTAAGAAGACTTTCATCTGATGACTGCCAACCATGACACTGTCTTCTAGAACTGATAGTCTGTCTTTACACTGGTTGATTCTGCTTTGTATGCTTTTAGCAGAATTTTTAATCTCCTGGATATATGTTTGCATCTGTTTTATGGCATCCAGTTCTTTTCTATGTTGGGTAGAAAGAAGTGAATTTTGTAAGGTTGTTGGATTATTGGCTATAGGACCAATATACAAAAAAATTGTATTTGTATATTTCAATAATAATGACAGGATAAAGAAACAAGTACCTAACAAAATATTTAATGGGTCAGGGGATTTGGCTCAGTGATTCTGCCACCTGCCTCGCAAGAGCAAGGGCCAGAGTTTGATCCCCCGTACCAAAAAAACAAAACATTTAATGGAGGGCCAGGGATTTAGCTCAGTGGCACCATGCCTACCTCCTAAGTGCAAGGTCCTGAGTTTGATCCCCAGTACAAAAGAAAAAAAAATTAATGGAAAATGTGCAAGATTCTACATAGCAAACTAAACGGATTACTAAGAATTTCTAAGAAGACTTATGTAAAAATGACATGATACATTAAGAGACACAGATGGAAGAACCAATAATGTTTGACTGCTACTTCTTCAAGATTAATGTACTGATTGGCTGGGGATTTAGCTCAGTGGTGCCTCCACCTGCCTTGAAAGCACAAGGTCCTGAGCTCGATCCTCAGTACCAAAAAAAAAAAAAGATTAATTCCCAAGCAAAATTCTGGGTTCATTTTCTGGTGGAAATTGATAAGCTAATTCTAATTCTAAAATTATATGGAAGTGTAAAGAGCCAAGATGGTTTTACAAAAAGTGTTGGAGAACATGAACTACTAGATATCAACACTAAATTTTTGTTTTTGAGGCAGTGTCACTGCTTCATTCTTCTAAATGCCGGGATTTCACTAAATTATTATTGTTTTGTTGTGTTGAGACTGGGTTTCTCTATGTAGTTCCCTTGAATTTCACTCAAGGTTGGCCTTGACCTCATGGTCATCCTCTTGCCTCAGCCTCCTGAGTGCTAGAATTACAGGTGTGTGTCACCACACCCAGCTGCACTAAATTATTATAAAGCTAAAATGAAGTAAAATATAGATACCTGAAACTGACCACTTAAGCACATAGTTAGTAGCAAAGATCACACTGTAATGTAGAGGAATGTAGGAAAGAACAGTCTTTTCAATAATAATGTCATAGTGTAGCCATATGGAAAATATATATCTTGACTTCTGTCATAGCTAATGGATGATAGTTAATTACTCAATTTGAGTAAGAAACACTCAACTAAATTGGCTCAGCATAGCTCTGGGTATGGAAAACCCACCCTTGGGAGGATCAGTTCTGTTTCTTTGGAGGAGCTCCAGTCTTTGCCTTCACCTTGGATGTCATCTCCTGGCTTCCGGCGTGGACTCTTCAGTCTCCAGCACCAACCCTTTAGCATTCTGGTATGGACCATTTAACCTTCTGACACAGACCATTCCATCTCCTGATACAGACTTACACAGGAGACTACAGATAGCTCCAGGTCTTTGACTGAATCTTTTGTACCTCTAGTGTGCAGACAGACCTTTTACACTCTTCCACACCTGACTATATGGGCAACCATTGTAAGCCAATCATGTATATTCTTATATATTTGTATATCTTGTGTTAAATCTGTTTCTCTAGTAAGCACTAATGGATACAACTTCTATTTCACATTATACACAAATGCCAATTCTAGGTAGATTACAGATTTAAATATATCTTGGCATGGTAGCATATGCCTGTAGACCCAACTACTGGGGTGCTGAACCAGAAGTTCAAGGGAAGCCTGGGCAACATCTATTAAAGACCCTATCTATTAAATATATACATTATGAAAAAACTTAAAAAGTTCCAGATCATTGCTTAGGTGAAAACATTAATGACTTCAAAGATTTCTTAAATGAGAATACAAACAGCACTAACAACATTTATAATTGGGTTACATTAAAATGAGGAATTCCTTTTGATCAAAGGGTATCATTAAATTAATGGTATAATATTTGTGATTGGCTTCAAAATAACTAAGCAGTGGTTGGATTGAGGTTGGGGAGGAGCGAGGAAGTAGAGCTAAGTGAAATTGATCACGATTTTTTTCTTTTTATAGGAGAGGTCAGTCTTTTTGGTATTGAAGTTTCTGAAGTTGGGATTTCATTGCATGATCCTCTCCATTTTTGTTTATGCTTTAATTTTTCCATAAGTTTTTAAAAGACAGGCACTACTATGGAAGGAAAGTCAAACCACGT